AGAGAGATGCTGTTTGGGTTTCTCTTCTTTGTGTTTTTGGTGTGTCTATGTGTGTCCTAGTACACCCTAGGTGCGTCCTGTGTCTGCGCCTGTGCTGTACTTGGGGAGGACATCGAAGGCCTTTTCCAGATGTTGGACTACGATGGCGGTGGCTCCCTGGACACCGATGAGTTCTGCGAAGGCGAGATTGGCCGCTTGGCCTTGGGGTTCGCATGGTGATTTCCCATCCCACGTTGCCAGGTGTGTTGAGAGCATCCACAAGTGAGAAGCCATTGGAGCTGACGCGTTTGGTGAAGCAATGCTCTGACATCCTAAAACTTTGTGACTGGGACTGGCATGGAATGGTGCTGCGAACCGGGACGCTCTCTAGTGCACCAAACATGGAAGGGCAGCACATGGGCACCACATATCACTACATCATTTTTGTTGGTTGTTGAAGTTGTTGATCCTTGCTTGTTTCAAGACCGCTGCTAGTAGTGGACTCGCATAGTGGACTACACGTTCCATTCAAAGGGTCCAAGAAAATAGGAATCTTATGGAATCAAACGTGTTGAAAAACTGTTGCAATATTTCAGGGTGATACAGTGTTCTTTTAAGTAGTGGCCATTCCGCCCAGCGGCCTACTTTGGCCTGGCTCTTATACTCAGTCTTCGTCAAGTGAAGTTTTTGCCTTTAGTATTGAGTGGCACCAGAACTTTAGGTAGCCAAAGCACTTTTTTGAATTGTCATGAATGGTTCCGCTCGATCTGCTTCAGGTCGAAATATGTACGTTTATCAGAGCTCTCAGAAGTTCGACATAGGCCGTGGGGTGGGGAAGAAGCTGGCCGGGAGCCGGGAGGTTCACAGCTTGTCAGGCTTGTCATCCCACAGGGACCTCGTTTGTTTGAAGTAGAGACTGGACGGCAAGTCACTTGGTGTAGGGTTCCAAATATTGAAGGTGATTAGAAATTTCCTTCTGAAACAGTCAGCCGAGCCAGATGAAGTGACAATTATCAAGGCTGGCTGTTATGTTGGTAAAGGAAGGATTTTCCTGCTTAACAGGGTGATTCGCAATAGCGAAGAGACAGAAACATATTTTGATATATTTTGATTGCTTTCCAGACCAGACTGCAAATTTGCGCCACATTTAAACAGCTCCTCGTTGCAGTGGACTGAACCCAATCATTTCCCCCAAGTCTGCAATTACAAGAGCTGCTGAGCTGTAAAAATGGTTAGGCTCAAGTAGCTCCCATTCGTTCTGCAGGAGATTTGGAAAGAAAGATGAAACAACTTGAGAAGATGGAAAGCCTCCAGTAGCTTGGCGACACAGAAAATGCATGAAAATGCCATCTGTGCACTGTGTGCACTGTGTGCACTGTGTGCACTGTGTGCACTGTGTGCACTGTGTGCACTGTGTGGATTGTGTGCACTGTGTGCACTGTGTGCACATTTTGTTGAATTATATAAAACATGTTCATTTTATCTTCGTGATTGCGCTAAACACACACACACATATATATACATACACACACACACACTATATAACATATTGACACATATTGTGCTTTGTGAATCTTTGTGATATCGTGCTAAGCCACCCCAAGCCATGCCAAGCCCATGGCCCTCTTTGGATTCACCCAGACTCCCTGCCCTGACGCCCTGACGTCCTGACCTGACCTCAGATTGGACAATGCCATAAACGCCCGCATGGAGCACGGCATGGAGCAGCTACAAAGTGATTTGGGTCGAATTATGAATGCTCTGCGAGTGGAGGGACGTTGACCATGTTGACCTCGCCCATTTGCACATGGCGCCCAGTCCTGCTGAAATGGCGGTGCAGAACCACTTGCAATACTCCGTGGCAGAGTCAACAGTACAGTACCGTTGGCCATGTAACCTCACTGGTTTAATTGATATTATCTATTATTATATCTATTATTATATCTATTATTATATCTACTATATATAATGTACTGGATATGGAATGGTGTAGGACTGTGTAGGTATGTGTTGTAAACATGTATGATGTCTTGATAATGCGATCTCACCGTGGCCAGTTCTGGGCGCCAAGTGCCATTGCGATAGTGCCAGCCCGGCTGTGAATTTGTGAATTCATGGGTGACCTGTCAGAGACATGGCATTTGTTGCAGAGGCAGCACAGGTCAAATTTATCATAACTCCAATATGAATGACGACGGCTCTTCACTAATTTCCACCTATTTTGGATGGCCCTGCGACAATTTGATCAAGCGCTATTAAAACTTTAAACCCCAATGCTTGTATCCTTGTGCACAAACATGTTTTGCAGTGGACATGAGTCAGCCTGTAAGTCCTTCATAATCGCAAACCTCTGATAGGTCGACGCTTTTCCAGCACTTTGCCAACTTGGCCGACACAGCCAAATGTGTGGCGTGGTTTTCTGAATTTGGTCGTGGCTCAGCGTTCCATGAAACGTCGCAGAGTCCTTGTCCCTTGGAGCTTTTGCTGCTTGCCGAGATGCTTGGTGCCTTTGTTCTCCATGGCACTCACTCGTTCAATCGTTGCGTGTTGTGAAGGTACTGAAGGTACTGAACCCAAAGGGAAGCCATGTGGAACAAATGACGCACGTTCTTCTATCTATGCATCCTGCAACTTTGCTCAAAAACATCCTGAGACTCATCATGATTTGTTCTATACATCAGGGATGGTTTCATTGCTTGGAAAATTTGACAATGTTTCAAGAGGGAACCAGAGCATCTCTACCTTGCAAGCCAGCCGACATCCAAACTTGAGCCTGTCGACTTGGGAACGATCTGACACACATTGTAACATTGTAGATGACTCCAGGAGATTGGCATGAAGTCAGGCCAATCTACTTAATCACTTAATCTACTTAAGCTTGAACAATCATTGAACAATCCCGAGGGCCCGAGCATTTTTTCATTTTTTTCACGGACTGAAATGATAAACAGCTTGAATTTGTCGGTTTCTCTGGGCGGATCACCTCAAAAAGGCACCTCCAAACCTATTGCCGTGGCAAGTTGCCGCAAAGCCATTGCAATTGTTACCGTTGTTACCTACCCGATCTTGTCAAGTCTGGTGCTAAGATGTGCTTTGTCTTTATCTTTCTTTGCCTAATCAAGGGCCGACCACGTGAAGCACCAAAGTTTTGGTTTCTCATGGCCTGGAGCTTTCACAGGGTTCAATAGGTTCAATCTGCCAAGCAGTTGGACAGCGGAAAAATGCTGGAGGTTATGGGTGTAAAAAAATGTGAAAGCACTTTCCTCAGCTTTTTTCCCCAAAGGATCCAAAGGTTTTACTGACGTACCACATCGTACCACAGTACCACACAGTTTTTCTGCTCGATCCAACCTTTTTGGGTCCAAGTCATCAGAGCGAAGCACTGTGAATGCACCGTGAGCACACCGTGAGCACGCTGTGACATTTTTGGAATTGGTTTACCACTGGAGCCTCATGCCCATTTCATGCCCATTTCAATGCAAACTTAGAAGATTACAGACCCCAATGCTTAAAGGGGCTTGTGGCTGCGGCAGCTTGGGCTCGAAGCCATTGTCAAGCACAGATTTGTTTTATGCGTTTGTTGCGGTTCTTTTGACAATGCATTTGATTCACTCTACTGAAAAAGTAAGTTCACCCTGTCATGAAGTCATTGGACACATTGAAATCAAGGACTAGAGAAAGGAATGTCCCTGTCGCATCCAAGCCACACATTCATAGTCTGCAGGAATTGGCGAAAGCTAGACGTTTCAAAGCACAGGATGGCATTGACAGCTCAGAAGCTTCATTCTGTGTGTACTTGAGGAAACAAGCAGAGCACAGCTTAGCACCAAAACTCCAGAAGCTTTTGTGGCGATTGCGGTGATCCAGTGTGCCGGTCCGCAAAGACAGAGGCTCGGATTGGCTTTCGCTGCTTGTGCTTGTTGTGCCGCACCAGGCTTGACCAGCCTCGACAGTGCTTGGTTGGTCACAGGTGGTCACAGGTGGTCACAGGTGGTCACAGGTGGTCACAGGTGGTCACAGGTGGTCACAGGTGGTCACAGGTGGTCACAGGTGGTCACAGGTGGTCACAGGTGGTCACAGGTGGTCACAGGTGGTCACAGGTGGTCACAGGTGGTCACAGGTGGTCACAGGTGGTCGCAGGTGGTCGCAGGTGGTCGCAGGTGGTCGCAGGTGGTCACAGGTGGTCACAGGTGGTCACAGGTGGTCACAGGTGGTCACAGGTGGTCACAGGTGGTCACAGGTGGTCACAGGTGGTCACAGGTGGTCACAGGTGGTCACAGGTGGTCACAGGTGGTCACAGGTGGTCACAGGTGGTCGCAGGTGGTCGCAGGTGGTCGCAGGTGGTCGCAGGTGGTCACAGGTGGTCACAGGTGGTCACAGGTGGTCGCAGGTGGTCGCAGGTGGTCGCAGGTGGTCGCAGGTGGTCGCAGGTGGTCGCAGGTGGTCGCAGGTGGTCGCAGGTGGTCGCAGGTGGTCACAGGTGGTCACAGGTGGTCACAGGTGGTCACAGGTGGTCTTAGATCTGTGTGCTTTGATCGGTCCTAGATCTTAAGACGCTTTTGACGCTTTTTTGACGCTTTTTCGAGGCCTTTGGCTTTTGGATTTTGTCGAGCTTTGAACCCGGACTCAGGTGCATGGAAGCCATGGAAGCCATGGAAGCCATGGAAGACATGGAGACCATGGAAGCAGATGAAGCCAGTGCCGAGGCACAGCTTTTATTTGTGCGCCTGGAAAACATTTCTTTCATTGGTCCATTCATTGGTGTTAGACGAGGCATCTGAACTGCAACGGACGGGATTAGTATGCATATTTGGTTGAGTCTTACATACTTCTTTACATGAAGAAATTGATTCCAATCACTATGAACAAAAGCAGGCATGAGCAGTAGAGTATCAGGAAAAAAGTATTCTCTGGAATTTCTCTGACACACTGGGGACGTTTCAAACACTGCACTGCTGCACCTGTTTCAACCGGGGCGGCTTTGAAGAGTCGAACTGCAAAGGGTGCTGAGCCTCGAGGGCGTGGACGCCGGAAGTTCAAGCGCGAGGCGCGAGGCAACACATCAAGCACTGCGTCAAGCACTGCGTCACGTCCAAAACCTCCAAACCGAAACACCTCCATACAGGACTCCATACAAAACATTTGGACATCCATGACATTTGCTACACTGCAAATCAGGGCAAAATACACTAAAGATATGTAAAGATACTAAAGTTCTTGTTCTTTGCGAATATACCTGATTAAAAACAGAAAGGTTGGTATAGAGTCTTGGGAGGAAGAGATATAGAATATTTTGCCATTCCAACGAATTTAAGGGTCTGATGTGACTGCCTGATGCTTCACTCAGAGTAAGGATAGGAGCTAGATCACTGCCTAAGTCGCACTGGTGGTATTGCTTAGTTTATGGACCATATTCTGATGGCACAATGCAACTGCAAATTGTGACTGCACCAACATAGGTGCACGGTGAACGAGAGTGTAAGGCGAATAGCTTATGCACACTTTGAAGACACCCATTTTCCAAAGCAAAGGCACGATGCGCTTCTTTTCCATTCTCCATTTCACTGGTGCAAATGCGTCACAGGATGGTTCCAAAAAAGATGCAACTCAAGAGGACCTTTTGGGAATAGCAGGTGAAGGTTGCGCGATTTGTGTTTTTGTTGGCCTACTTTATTGATCTTTATTGGACTAAAGCCTCAGAGCAACAAGTCTTGTTGAATATATCTTATTGTTCCTTGCTTTCTTTTGTCATGAAGCTTGGTACAACACTATACAATACTTATACATACTTATACAGCTTTCTGACAATTCTGTGAGTCTTCAAAAGATGTCCAGCCTGGATGCCTTATCTCTTGGCAAACGAGTGGAACTCTGAAGATGCCTTCAGGACAAACCTGCCAAGAAGCGCCAGGAACTCAGATGGAGTCAAAAAGTTGGGGCACGGTTGATACGTTAAGAGAAGTTAAACGAGACAGCCAAGCCAATCCTTTGACGACACTTGGTGAGGCAAGAGACGCAAGCGGCGAAGGTGCGCAGCAGATGCAGCTCGTGCTACACTTAGGAAGAGCAAAGAATCCCAGGCTATCATGAAACAATATGAAGCTGTGTAAGTTTGGAACATTTTGCAGATTGAGTGCGAGACAGCTACGGTCTTATCGCTCAAACATCTTGGAAAAACCATAAAAAACCAGTTCTCAGGTTCCTGCAGTGCTTCAAGCAAAAACTCCAAGGACACCACGTGTCATTGCCAGCTTGCAGATTCCCAGAAGTGGAATGAACATGGTACCCTGGTACTCCAAAATGCAACCTATAGCTCCAATGAAAGAGGAAGAGTCGGAATTCAGTTTCAATACAGTTGGAATTCAGTCGCTCTTGCCAGGATTTTTATGGATTAATTCAGTTATTGCATGCTATTGCCTGGTGGCGGTTTAAGAGACAGTATTTTTGCATATGCCTAGATTGGATCGAACCAGTGCTCAGTGTTTATTGGTCCCATGTTGTGACAGTTAGGTTGCATTGCGGTTCTCGCAATTCTTAGATTGGATTGATTGTTGATATGTTTCAAGTTTGTCTTGCAAAGTTTAGGCTATTTTGGAAGGATGCAGAGGGTCTTGTGCACTTCCATTGGGCAACGCAAGGTCTCATTTTGGGCACAAGTCAGTGTTTGAAGTTGGTTTTGGGCGAACTTACGTGGCTCGGTTCGAACCATTTTCTTCTCATCAAAAAGAGCGCCAAACACTGCAAAAACAGAGCCACAATTAAGCCCAGTAGTGTCCCAACATGGGCTACATGGGGTCCAGCATGCACCTGACACCAGTCCAAAATTGGCACACACACACACAGAGCTTCAACTTTGACTCAACAAGCGCTAAAAACCAAACATTGCCCCAAACTCACCAAACAATTCCTGTGTGGGCGTTTGTCGTCACGAAGCGACCAGAATAGCCAGGTCGCCATAGTCAAGTCATTTCGATACCAGGAAAAAAGTGAAACCAAAGATGGATCGAGAGGCAGGGACTGTTTGCAGCATAAAAAGAGTCAAATATGCTCCAAATGAATCCCGTCTTGGTCGGTCTGCAACAGATCTGATGCAGGCTGAACTGGAAATATGGCTTTCAGTACCAATGTTTTTAGGCCAAAAAAGAAACGTCAAACAACATTTCCAACCATAAACGCAAAGGCTGGAAACCTTTGGGCGTCAAACTCCACATTTCTCCCTTTGCACCTGCAAGATCTGCCAATTTCTTAGGCAGTGAAGGAACCAAAGCCAGCAGTGCCAGCAGTGCTGAAGCTAAAAAGGAGCGTCGATTGCCGAGTAGAACCCAGCAAAGAATATAGGCGACTCGCACGAATCTTGTCTACATCAATGGCATGATACGATGTATGTGTATATATATATGTATATGTATACACATACCGATACCTATATATATACACACACACACGCCTCTCTCTCCATATATACTTACGTATATACACATACATACATTATACTAGTATGTATATAATACTGTATGTATACAAATTATATGCATAGAGTGTGTACATGTACGTATATGTATATATACATGGATATGTGCATATATATATATGTGCATATATATATATGTCTCCATATGTACATATGTGTGCCTCAGGCCTCCCGGAAAAAATGTATGGTATGGTATGGTAATGTAATGTAATGGTATGTAATGTAATGTATGTAATCTATGTAATGTATGTAATGTATTATTGTATGCAATATATGTTATGTTATGTTATGTATTGTATTGTTATGTTATGTATTGTTATGTAGTGTTATGTAATGTTATGTTATGTATTGTTATGTTATGTATTGTTATGCATGTATTGTTATGCATGTATTGTTATGTCATGTATTGTTATGTAAATATTGTTATGTATGTATTGTTATGTATGAATGTAATGTATGTATGAATGCAATGTAATGTAATGCAATGCAATGCAATGCAATGTAATGTAATGCAATGTAATGGTATGGTATGGTATGGCATGGTATGGTATGGTATGGTATGTATGTATTTATGTATGAATGAATGAATGAATGAATGAATGAATGTAGTGTAGGTAGTGTAGTGCAGTGCAGTGCGGTGTGGTGTGGCACAAACCAAAAGTGAAGGTCAAAACATACGTGGAACTTTCCAATACAAACAGGTGCATACTTCATGCATACGGGGGTGTCGCACTAAGATGGCACACCCGCTCTCAAGACCATTCAATCGGGGAAGATTATGACTATGCAAAAATGAAGGCAAGACCATAGACCATGCAAAATCGTAAAAGACACATTGGAGGACCCAAGAAAAAACCCATGGAAAATGGAGCGGCACAAACCAAAAGTGAAGGTCAAAACATACATGGAGCTTTCCAATTCAAGACAGGTGCATACTTCATGCATATGGAGGGGGGTGCTACACTAAGATGGCACACAGACAGGACACGGTGAGGGAATGAACGCCTCTTTCATGGCAGAAATGCATCTTTCCGTGTGTGCCATCTTATCGCAGCCCCCTATATGTATGTCTATATACTATATATATATATATATAATAAAAATACAATAGAGTATGTACAACCATTGCAATTTTTGATCTGTATAAGATCTGAATCAATCCGTGTCCATGTGGTCTGGGGCCCAATCCACCAGATAAAGAGAGGTTTGCAGGTCTGTCTTAATGTTGGGAACAGGAGCGCCAGAAGCGCCGGAGGAGGCCTGGTTCCATCAGCCGGTGACGAAAGGAAACACTCTTTTATTTGTCGTGCAGTCTGAAGGAGATCGTGGGTTCTAAAGCTGAGCCTGGCTTTGTTGGCAAACGCAGTTTTTTGATAACAGATGTGATTAGATAAAAAATCTTCCGTCAGGGGCCTTAAGGTTTTTTTGTCAGTTTTCATATTTCTGAGTGCCCTGCACTGGTTTCATCATGGGTAACCTTTTGCTCATTCTGTGCCTAGCGTTTTTTATTTTTCACAGAACGATGTTTGTGGTGGAGTTTCGCAGTGTGACATGCTTGCAGACTCATAGACTCGTCCTAGACAGTTGTGTCATTGGATGAAGTCAACGGAGCCAAACTGGTCGAACTCAGAGCCGAATTTGTTGCCATCCGATGGCCCGGCTGCCCGGCCCCTGGGTTCTTTTGCTCAGGCGCAGAAAAAGGCATTCGTCAGATCCCAAGATTGTAGGCCCATAGGCTGCTGTGCCCTGGAGATGCCCCGCAAGTTTCACCGTCACATCGCACACTGCATACTGCCAGATCTTAGAACAAAGGGTTTGAAACTAAGCCTGGTCTGAGTTTGGAGTCTGTTTTATATTCATTTCTATTCTATTTTTACCTCCTTGACTCCTTATCTTTTAGACTTAATGCAATGTATTATAACGCCTTTTGATTTCCCTTGTTTCCCTTGCTTGTCTTCTTTGACTCAGCTGCAAGCAAGGCGCTCCAGCAGTTCCCACAGCCGCCGCAGACGGAGGAGTCAAAGAACGAGTTTCGTACTTGAAGGGACTGGAAGTTCAAACTTTTCAGATGATTTCTCAGGATGATTTGTCTTCAAGATTTGTATTGCACACGTCACTTCTTTGAATTTCTGTTTCAAGATAAGTTTATTGTGAAAACTGAATGTGTTCTTAGCGGAACTGCTAGCTTCAAAAACCTTTGTGGCATCGCATCTTTGAGATCAAGATCAGTTGAGCCACAACAAGCCAGCTGTTCCTGTCCTCTTGTTGACCGCTGTCATTGGTAGAGTCATGCTGCCAGCACAGATACAAGGAAATGATAGCAGATAGAAAAAGAAGATCTAGATCAACATCCTAAAGCCACAGCAAACTGAGCCAATGAGCAAGCTGTGCACATTCAGGGTGTCCCTGCAGTGGCTTCTCCCAGGCTTTGTCCCTTTCTGAAAATGGCTTTCTGCAAGCTTGGCCGTAGTCCATGCCTGACGAGAGTAAGCAGGTTGAACTGAAGGAAGAGAGGCCTCTGTCGCAATATGTTGTGCTCAATGCACGAGGCACTCGCATTGTAGCTCGGACTCACTGCAATCCAAAACTGCAAGTACTAGACGTCGCCAGAGGATGCCGCTTGTATTTTCTTTTTTACTTGGTGTCAAAGAGCAGATGTGTGTGTGTATGTGTGTGTGTCTGTGCGTGTGAACAATCTGAAGATATGTCAAACTTCTAACCTGATGGAGTTTCGGTTCTCAATTCCAATTTCTGCCGTGGTTATTATTACATTTCAAATTTCCAGGGGAGTGGAGCAGGCTTGCAGAGCTCCACTTAACAAAGCTCTCTGCAGTGTCCTGAGGATATCACTGGAGACGTCCAGTGACGTACCTGCACAGTTGTGATCACCTGTTGTTCAGGGTCTGTTTCCATTTCACTTCAATTTCGTTCTTCGTTTCTGAAAATGGCATCCGGCCAAGCCATAAGCCGGCCAGTCGAATTTCATCAAATTTGCGTCAGCCAATTTGATTTCCTGGTACGAGTTGGCGCAACTCTCTGGCTATGGCGATGGTAACTTCTCAAGTGTTTTTGAACGTAAGATGCATTCCACAACACAATTCGCAATGACAGCTCTGAGCAAGAGTGTTACTCACGTCGGTTCGACAAAATGCCGTGAGCCCCTTGGGGAACCTGTCTAGGTAGGATGTTGGATCCTTCGACTTGATCTCTGAATTTACATTTTTCAGTTAATTCATCTAAATAAAGTGGAACCGTTGGCCTTTTTGAAGGTCTCACCTCATCGTTGTCGTTGTGTTGAACAACTGGCCGCTGTCTCGGGCGTCTATTGTGTTTTGAATGTCTGCATAGCTGGAAGCCACGGCAACCTTCTTTTTTTCCAACGATGCTCGAGAGCTTGTACTGTACCAGCAAGTGCAACATGAAGGAATTTCCAAGCAGGTTCATGACTTTAGGTGTGGTTTCCTTTCTCTTCATGGTCTCTGGTGAGGTTCAATTGTGCACCAATTCGAAGGGTTGAACAGTTAAGCCGCCCAGAGGATTGTGACTTGCAATTGGAGGGCCTTTGAGCCTGAACACGAACTTCTGCACTGGTTGATTGATGCATCGTACTGTTTGAACTGTTTTATTCATTTCGAACGTGACAATTTTGCTGCCGGCCATGTTTCCACTCTGTGGCCGTTTCGACCATGGATGAGCTAGTTGTGATCACCTGTTGTTCAGGGTCTGTTTCCATTTCACTTCAATTTCGTTCTTCGTTTCTGAAAATGGCATCCGGCCAAGCCATAAGGCGGCCAGTCGAATTTCAACAAATTTGCGTCAGCCAATTTGATTTCCTGGTACGAGTTGGCGCAACTCTCTGGCTATGGCGATGGTAACTTCTCAAGTGTTTTTGAACGTAAGATGCATTCCACAACACAATTCGCAATGACAGCTCTGAGCAAGAGTGTTACTCACGTCGGTTCGACAAAATGCCGTGAGCCCCTCGGGGAATACCTGTCTAGGTAGGATGTTGGATCCTTCGACTTGATCTCTGAATTTACATTTTTCAGTTAATTCATCTAAATAAAGTGGAACCGTTGGCCTTTTTGAAGGTCTCACCTCATCGTTGTCGTTGTGTCGAACAACTGGCCGCTGTCTCGGGCTTCTATTGTGTTTTGAATGTCTGCATAGCTGGAAGCCACGGCAACCTTCTTTTTTTTCCAACGATGCTCGAGAGCTTGTACTGTACCAGCAAGTGCAACATGAAGGAATTTCCAAGCAGGTTCATGACTTTAGGTGTGGTTTCCTTTCTCTTCATGGTCTCTGGTGAGGTTCAATTGTGCACCAATTCGAAGGGTTGAACACTTAAGCCGCCCAGAGGATTGTGACTTGCAATTGGAGGGCCTTTGAGCCTGAACACGAACTTCTGCACTGGTTGATTGATGCATCGTACTGTTTGAACTGTTTTATTCATTTCGAACCTGACAATTTTGCTGCCGGCCACGTTTCCACTCTGTGGCCGTTTCGACCATGGATGAGCTAGTTGTGATCACCTGTTGTTCAGGGTCTGTTTCCATTTCACTTCAATTTCGTTCTTCGTTTCTGAAAATGGCATCCGGCCAAGCCATAAGCCGGCCAGTCGAATGTCAACAAATTTGCGTCAGCCAATTTGATTTCCTGGTACGAGTTGGCGCAACTCTCTGGCTATGGCAATGGTAACTTCTTAATGTTTTCAGATCCCTTAAGCGACCCATTCCTGTCAGGACCCATTCCTGTCAGGTGTATATATATAATGGAAGTGTATTTGCACATAAGATGCATTCCACAACAAAATTCGCAATGACAGTTCTGAGCAAGTGTGTGTGTGTGTCACCTGTCTGTGTGTGTGTGAGCGCTTGGTGTCCAAATCCCCACACAGTGTAGCTGGATGTAATTGGTGTAGCACCAGCATGATGTTGCAACCCGAAAGCCTCCTGAGACAACGACGCCGACCACTCTGGGTATCTTGGCGCTTCCTGGTACTTTCTTTGGCTCTTTGGATTTAGAATCCGCCGCCTTTTGGATGAATTAGAGCATGCATCCGGCATGAGGTACAGACATGTACCGGCGACAGGGACCGCTGACCCAAAGCACCCACAATGATGTGTTCTCAAAGAGGATGTGATTGCTTCCACAGTGATTTTTTTCATCATTTCTCTTAAGGATATGGATGAACTATTTCTCGATCATGATCCTCAAGCGGTGGGCGAGATCTTAACTGTGACTTGAGCGGGCTGAGCACGCTGTTTTGCAATTTCTCGTCCAGGGAGTCCGGGAAATTGCAATTGCAATTGCAATGCGCGCAGATGTTGTCCAGACGAGTCCAGAGAGCTGGCTACCATACCATGCAGAGATCCCCAGGTTTTTTCCAACATGCGCTTCAGTACCACCAATGCGCTTGCAGCTATACGAGATGCATCACTGCGAAACTCGCTCCTTGATTTGCAGCTAGAGACAGCCAAAGCCAACAGATTTGTCAAAGATGACCCAAATAGCAGCTTCCAGGTGAGACAATTGCCAATTTATAAGGCTCCCTGAGTTGCCGCTGCTAGGCATTCAATGCGCCCATTGCTGCACTTTCTGGGTTTGGACTTGAGCTTAGAATTCGCTTTCCCGTGATTTGCATCAAGATATATCAATGCTTTGTTCATTTCGCAGTCTGTCGCCGGCATGTACTACCCACAAGACCCCCACCATGAAATCATGGAGGTTGGACAAATCACATGTCTACTTGCAGACTTTGTCACAGAATCTGTTGGGGGTAGCATGGGTAGCATTCTATAAAGAGGTCATTGCAAAGCACTTCGGCGCCTGGGATGGCGGTGACTGCAGCCAGAAGCCAACAACGACTCAATAGATCCCAGCAGATCCCAGCAGATCCCAACAGATCCCAACAGATCCCAACAGATTCAATGAATTCAATGTATTCAGAAATCGTTCCTGGCCTGCCAGACCCCAAGGAGTGGATGCTTGGTTTGCGGTTTCCGTCTCGTGTGCTTCCCAGAAGGAAAGTGTCCGTCCAGAATTTGAGAGGTCTTCAGAGTTTTGATTGAATAGTGAGGATATGTAATACAAGTTTTAAGGATTTATAAGGTACATGGATACAAAACTTTGACTCACAGTGCTCCTGAGCACCCAGGTTTTGATGATTTTGGACGTTGCGAAAGCACCTGCAAGGCGTGCACGAGTTGTGAAACTGCATAGAGAGTTGCCGTAAACAATTTTTGCATTCTTGACATTTCTTGACTCGTTCATAACATGCATTGTGCTGTTGTACTGCTTTCCAGACCCATTTCCAAGACAGGAGAGGTCCATCCGTGAATGCCAGCATGAGCATCCTGATGTTTTGCAGTACCTTGCAGCTTGGCACCTGCTATTTTTGCTTTGATTCAATGACAATTCACAAGACATGAGCCCCTGCAACGGCCACAGTTGCAATGTTGCAGGCGAACTTATGAGGCACTCAATGAGCATGAATGAGCATGAAATGTCTGACGGTTTTCCCTTTGTGCATTTTGTTTTTGACAGACAGGTGGAATCAGCTGGAAAGCCCTGCTGGTCTCATTTGCATCAGAGGCTTGGCGGAGTTTTGACTCTGGCCCGGAATGACCTGATTTGAAAGAAAGGTATTCCGGAGGCTTCGCGACAACAACCGCCCGCACCGGAGTGTTAGCTGTTAGCTCCAGAGTTCCAATAAATAAGACCACGTGTTCTATGTTGGCCCTTTGTAGGGCGCATGTTGAGAGTATGTTGGCCCTATGTTGGGCCGCATCGGGCCCATGTTGAGCCATGTTGGGCCCACGTTGCCTATTTTGTGCCCATGTTGGGCCATGTTGCGCCCAAGTTTGGCGACTAGCCAATTTCACGACCTTTTCAAAAACGTGGAACAGCCCACGATTCTAGAGCAAAAATGCTCCCCCCCAAGCTAAAGCTTAATAGCTATTGCAATTGCTTCCGGATCACGCGTGCCAAAAAGAAACGCTTCAGCACCTTCGGTGCGGGCGGATTTAGCCATTTGCATCTCATGTTTAAAGCTTTCCTGGAATCATGGTTTTCGCAAAGTGGGCAGGAAAAAACTATTATGAGTACCAACAGAAGAGAATCTATTGTGTGTGTTGTTTGGGTTTAGATGAACTGGGCTCACGATGGTCCTAAGGATTGCTCTGGTGGATGAGCAAGTAGAGCTGTTTGGCTTAGGAGATGAAGCCTTCCTGGTCGAGTGCCAGCGGTTGCAAGTTGTATCATATGTATTTGTGAAATTTTGTGAACACTGTGCTGTGATTTTAATGTTTCATGCAATTTCCAAGTGCATGGACAGAACATCCTCGAAGCCTCGCAACACATATCTCAAACACCCATGATGTGTCAGTAGCCGTTCCTTCACTGATGACGATTTGAACCTGTATTGACAGCCAATGAAACTCAGGCATGGTGGCTTTATTCCTCTTGGCGAAGTTAGACTGTTAGATCATCCGGCACTGGAAAGCTCCCAGTCCGCAAAAGATTTAGCGACTTTTGACAATTTTGACGAG